TATTTTGTCAACAATAAAATCTAGATTGCACAGACTGGAGATTCCCTAAAAGATTTAAAGTTAAAAATCTAAAAAGTGCTAAGAAATTTCAGCTGGTTGTTTCGAAAAGGCAAAAGAAGGAAGATATGACTCAATCAATTGAGCTACATCTCATTTTGATGTACAAAGTGTCAAGAATATAATAAATATGTTCGTAAAAAAAAAATTAATCAATATGTAACTTTAGAGGCGATGATCTTAACTGCCCATGACTTTAAGAAAAAATATATGTATGGTTTTTTCCTTAAATAGTTGTAATTTGAAGGAGATAATCGAACTCTCAAATAATATAGATAAGAATGGAGCAAGAGAAAAATGTTGAGATGCAGGGAATCTAACCACCTAATTCATCGTAGCTCAACCACTTGAGCAACATACCCATTTGATGTTCGAATTAACATCATAAATATGTTTACATCAAAAATTAATTAATATGTTACTTGAGAGATGTTGATCTTAATTGCCCAAGACGTTATTAAAAAAATGTGTTTTTTTCATTAAATAATTGTAATTTAGGAGAGATAATCAAATTCTCAAATAATATAGATAAGAATGAAAAAAACAAAAGTGTGGAGATGTAGGGTATTGAACACTGTAATTCATTGTAACTAAAACATATGAGCTACATCGCCCTTTGATGTTTGAACGGACAATTATAATAGATGCTTATAATAATATTTTGTAGACAATGAAATCTAGACTGTAGGGACTGGAGATTCCCTAAAAGATTTAAAGTTAAAAATCTAAAAAGCGCTAAGAAATTTCAGCTGGTGGTTTCGAAAATGCAAATAAAAGAATATATGACTCTATCAATTGAGCCACGTCTCATTTTGATATACAAATTGTCAAGTATATAATAAATATGTTTGTATCAAAAATTAATAAATATGTAAATTGAGAGGCGTTGATCTTAATTGCTCATGAATTTATAAAAAAATATATGTATGGTTTTTTGAGCTACATCGCCATTTAATTTTTGAACTGATAATTATAATAGAAGGTTATACTAATATTTTGTAGACAATAAAACCTAGACTGTAGGGACTGGAGATTCCCTAAAAGATTTAAAGTTAAAAATCTAAAAGGAGCTAAGAAATTTCAACTAGTGGTTTCGAAAATGCAAAAGAAGGAAGATATGACTCTATGAATTGAGCTACATCTCATTTTGATATACAAATGGTCAAGGATATAATACATATGTTTGTAAAAAAAATTAATAAATATGTAACTTGAGAGGCGCTGATCTTAATTGCCCATGACTTTATGAAAAAATATGTGTACATTTTTTTCCTTAAATAGTTGTAATTTGAATGAGATATTCAAACTCTCAATTTATATAGGTAAGAATGGAAGAAAAGAAATATGTTGAGACGCAGGGAATCTAACCACGTAATTCATCATAACTCAATCACTTGAGGAACATACCCATTTGATGCTCGAATTGACATCATAAATATGTTTACATCAAAAATTAATTAATATGTTAATTGAGAGATGCTGATCTTAATTGCCCATGACTTTATTAAAAAAATGTGTTTTTTTCATTAAATAATTGTAATTTGGGAGAATAATCAAGCTCTCAAATAATATAGTTAAGAATGAAAAAAAAAAAGGAAAAATGTGGAGATGTAAGGAATTGAACACTGTAATTCATCATAACTAAAACATATGAGTTACATCCCCATTTGATGTCTGAACTAACAATTGTAATAGAAGGTTATACTAATATTTCGTAGACAATAAGATCCAGCTTGTACGGACCGGAAATTCCCTGAAAGATTTAAAGTTAAAAATCTACAAGACGCTAAGAAATTTCAGCTGGTGGTTCCGCTACGTCTCGTTTTGATATATAAATTGTCAAGTGTATAATAAATATGTTTGTATCAAAAATTAATAAATATGTAACTTGAGAGGCATTGATCTTAAATGCCCATGACTTTGTGAAAAAATATATGTATGCTTTTTTTCCTTGAATAGTTGTAATTTGAATGAGATAATCAAACTCTCAAATTATATAGATAAGAATGGAAACAAAAAAAGAAAAATGTTGAGATGGAGGGAATCGTACCACGTAATTCATCATAACTCAACCACTTGAGCAACATACCCGTTTGATGTTCAAATTGACATTATAAATATATTAGCATAAAAAATTAATAAATATGTTACCTGAGAGATATTGATCTTAATGGCCCATGACTTTATATGAACAATATGTGTTTTTTTTTCCTTAAATAATTGTAATTTGAGAGAGATAATCAAACTCTCAAATAATATAGATAAGAATGACACAAAAAAACGGAGATGCAGGGAATTGAACACTGTATCATCATAACTAAAACATGTGAGCTGCATCCCTATTTGATGTTTAAATTGACATTTATAATAGAAGGATATACTAATACTATGTAGACAATAAAATCTAGCCTATAGAGATTGGAGATTCATTGAAAATTTGAGGTTAAAAATCTAAACTGTGCTAGGAGATTTCAACTGGTGGTTTCGAAAAGGAAAAGGAAGGAAGATATGACTCTATCATTTGAGCTACGTTTCATTTCGATATACAAATTGGCAATTATATAATAAATATGTTTCTATCAAAAATTAATAAATATATAACTTCAGAGGCATTGACTTAATTCCCCATGACTTTATGAAAAAAAAAAGTATGGTTTTTTCCTTAAATAACTTGTAATTTGAAGGAGATAATCGAACTCTCAAATAATATAGATAAGAATGGAAGGAAAAAAAATGTTGAGATAAAAATTTTGCATAGTGTTTTGAGAATGGGAGAGATACGGGAGACACAAGCGGAGGAAGACACGAGTGGCGGCGGTGCAGTTCCGCCGTCGAGCGAGGAATCTGATGCCTTGGAGAGGAGTCGTAAAAAGGTCAGAATGGGAGATTTGGTGATAGGGAATGAGCGAGCAGTGGTACGTCATGAGGAGGACTGGATGGTTGAAGAGGTATACTCAGACGGAGTAAATACACCAGGGGATCTGGGGGAGGAGGAACCGCAGAAGAAATCATATCGCCAAGCCTGTTCGTCTAAAGACAACGGGCCAAGCTGTGACGAAGAGGACGAGGAAGCATGGTGGTTTGATGAGGGTTGGCGTAATAAAGTCAGGGTGGAACAAACGACGAAGGGCCCTAACGTCATAATCATGCTAGAATTCAAGGAGAAACTAGCCAGAAAATGGAGGTTGTCCTTGATTGTACGACTCTTAGGGCGGATGGTCCGTGAAGAATATCTAGGGCAGAAACTACAAAAGTTATGGGGCTACAATAGGGATGTTGAAACCTTAGAGATTGGGTCAGGGTACTTCATAGTTAACTTCACCGACACCAATGACTACGAATATGCGCTTACAGGCGGACCTTGGCTTGTTCTGGGACATTATCTGAATGTACAACCGTGGAAACCTGACTTTGATCCAGACGAAGAGGAGGTGTCAAAGGTTGCGGCCTGGATATGTATACCGAAGTTTCCAATGGATTACTATGACATGGGAATCTTATATGTGGTGGGAAGTCAAATTGGAACAATTTTAAGGGTAGATAAGAACACCCTTTCTCACTCCAAAGGTTGATTCACGAGGCTGTGTATCGAGCTTGATCTGCAGAAACCCCTACTGCCGGCGATCTTAATAAACGGAAAAGAGAAGAAGATAATGTATGAGGGTCTACATCTGATTTGTTTTGGGTGCGGTAAGTATGGTCATGATAAAGACCACTGTCCTTGCAGCTCAACGACAATGGAGGGCACAGAAAGAGCAGACCAGTATGGCGTGAATCTCATGGAGGAAGGGTCGACGGCTACGGAGAAGGGGGATGGCCGGTATGGTGGTTGGATGGTCCAGAAGTCACGCCGTAATTATCGGCGATCAGATCGCATTCACGGAACTAGTGGGAATGAGTGGCAAGATTCGAAGGAAAAGAAGATCACAAGTAATAAGGGATCCAGATTCACGGCGTTGAGTATGGAAGAGGATGAGGAGCAACAGATTACGGGTAACGTAGGCCATGCGGAAATCACGTCGCATGAGATTATGATAAATAACAGAATCCCATATGATCATTCATCACGTGGTAGAAGGGGGCAGGCACGTGCACAATTGAATGGCAACAGGAGTGGGCCAATAGTCAGAGCTGATTCAAAGGGGAAAGAAGTGATATTAAGGAAAGAAAAAGTTAGCCCGATGGAGGAAGACCTATGACTGAAAAACAATATGGACTTAATGGTAAGTCATGCGAACCTCACCAATCACTCTTCGGGACATCAAGTGAACGTGGGAGTGGGTCCTTCTCGTTTGCATGAACCCAGGAAGCAGTCAACGTGTCCAAGCATGAATGATCCCGGGCCAAAGCTGGATACTACAACGTCAGAAATAGTTGATCTATTAGACCCAGGTGCAAGCACTGGAGCTAGGTTCATTATCAGATCAAACCCTTTGTCAGAGGACCACATAAATGTTGGGCAGAATGAGGGTGTGGTAGAACCCATGGCTGAAGAAGCAGAATAATATCTGGTCGTGTGCGATCATCTCATTACCTACGATTGATATGGATAGTAAACTAATGATCTGGAACTCGCGAGGAGTGGGAAGTAATGCGTTTAGTCGTTTTTTGTGTGATATTCGGTCTTGTTATCAACTGGATCTTATAGCACTCCTAAAACCAAGACAAAAGTCTGATAAAGCACTGTCCATAGGTCGTAGACTAGGATGGCGACACATGGAACTTGTAGAAGCACGGGGATATAGCGGGGGCATTTGGCTATTCTAGAAAGACTCACTGAAGCTCAGTATAGATTTTAAGATGGATTACTTTATACATGGCACGGTTAACAGAGGTAGTACTGATGAGTGGGCACTTACCATTGTATATGGTGACCCATCTTTTACGAAGCGCAGAAGTCTTTGGCAAGGCTTAGGAGATTTAAACAAATGCATCTCAGGAAGATGGGCCGTAGCGGGGATTTCAATGCTACTCTTACGCATGATGATCGTAAATTATTGGCAGGACAGCGCATCAATCCGGAAGCCGCTTTTCGGCGTTGGGTTAATGAAAGCGAGATGATTGATATAGGCTTTAGTGGGCCTAAATATACATGGTGTAGAGGTTCTAGCAGCAGCTGCATTGATCGCGTCTTGGTTAATAGCAGATGGCAGCAAGCATTTCCCAACGCCTCCATCATGCACTTGCCGATGTTCAAATCTGACCATTGTCCACTCTTAATATCGTTAGATGGTATGAACAAGCCGAGGAAGGGAAATCAGCCTTTTCGCTTCTTTGCACCATGGGTCATGCACGATCAATTCAAGTCCTTTGTTAAAGACAATTGGCAGACACAAGGGGATTGGAACGTTAATATCGAAGATTTCAAGACTCACCTTCTCCAATGGAATAGACAAGTCTTCGGCAATATTAATAGAAGAAAGGAACACTTATATCATAGGCTGGAAAAGTTGAACACCAAGATTGACATGAGTGGGAGCTCTGAACAGCTTGACCAAGCCAAGAAAGAATTATGGGCACAGATCGAAGAGGTTTTGTCTCAAGAGGAGGTTATGTGGTTACAAAAGTCACGTTGTAACTGGTACCATCAGGGGGATCATAATACCAAATACTTTCATAGTTTGGCAAGTAGTAGGCAACGACATAACAAGATTGAAGCTCTCAAACTGGAATCAGGAGAGTGGTCATATGAACCACAAGAGATCAAGGAGTGGGGTACTAAGTTTTTCGAAACACTATATACGGAAGAAGATGCAAGCAACCCTGAGATTAATTTCAACATTGACTTTCCTTAGATTGAAGATGGAGAATTACACCTATTGGGAAGACAAGTGTCATATGAGGAGATCAGGGCAGCTCTTTTCGATATGAGCCCCCTAAAGGCGCTAGGTCCTGATGGCTTTAATCCTCTATTTTTTCAAAGTCAATGGGAGGTGGTGAGGGGTACAGTAGTAATACAGAAAGTTAGAGAAATTTTCAACTCTCCTTCGAAGGTCAAGCTCATTAACGATACTCAAATTGTGTTGATCTCGAAAATTGATTCCCCCCAAACAATTAAAGATTTTCGCCCCATTAGCTCATGCAATGTCATTTATAAAATTGTGACCAAGATAGTTACAACTCGGCTTAAAGATATTTTGCCCAAGATTATTGCTCCTAATCAATGCAGTTTTGTTCGAGGATGTCAGAGTTCGGACAATATTATCCTTGCACAGGAAATTATCCATTGTATGAGAAGCAAGAGACCGAGAAGGGGGTTTATGGCTATAAAAATTGACTTGGAGAAGGCCTATGACCGTATTAAATGGAGTTTTGTGCTCGCTTGCCTTCGGGAACTCTATCTTCTAGACCTTATTGTTAAACTTATTGAAGCATGTGTTTCCAGTCCCTCTATGAGCCTACTTTGGAATGGTGAACGGGCGAGAAAGAAGAAATTTTATCCATCAAGAGGTATACGTCAAAGAGACCCTCTCTCACCCTATCTGTTTGTCATTGCAATGGAAAGATTGGGCCATCTCATCCAGAGAGAAGTGGAGAATGGAGAGTGGCGGCCTTTTAAATTATGCAAAAGAGGAACAGCTATTTCCCATTTATTTTTTGCAGATGATATCCTCCTTTTTGTTGAGGCAGACTTAGAACAGGCTGGACTTATTAAAGCAACGCTAGATGACTTTTGTTTGATTTCGGGGCAAAAGGTCAACGCAGCTAAAACCAGAATTTTCTCCTCAGACAGTGTTCACCATACTAGAAGGTGAGAGATCAGTGATTTCCTGGGGTTTCAGACTACATCCAATCTGGGTCGGTACCTTGGAATGCCTATTTTTCACGATAGGATCTCAAAGAACACGTTTGACTTTATCTTAGATAAGATGGATGCCAGACTCTCGGGCTGGAAAGTGAACTCATTATCCTTTGCAACCAGGCAGACCTTAGTCTCTTCAGTGGTTTCAGTAATCCCAAACTATGCCATGCAGACTACACCACTACCAGCTTACACTTGCAACGAGATTAACAAACATTGTCGTAACTTCCTGTGGGATAATATAAACCACACGCAGAAACCTCATTTGGTATCTTGGGAAGATGTGTGTAGGAAGAAAACTGAACGGGGCTTGGGGCTCCGGTCGGCAAGGAGGCAAAACTCGGCCTATATGATTAAACTTGGTTGGGGACTGGTCAAAAGACGGGAAGCGCTTTGGGTCAGGTTTCTGAGGGAGAAGTATAAGTGCGGTGGTGATTTTATTCCTAGAGTGGAGAAGAGAAGGAACAGCTCCCGAACTTGGGCGGGGATTTGTAGCAACTGGGATAAAGTGAGTCAAAATGTGAGACTTAAACTGGGCACAGGAACCGTGTGAGTTTTTAGTCTGACTCTTGGCTCTCACACGATGTCAGGCTTGCGGACCTTGCGGTTTGTGAAATCCCAAAGGAGGCAAAGAATTGGAGAATGACCGACGTTGTCTTAGATTCAGGTGGTTGGGAGTGGGAGAAATTCCAATCCTATCTTCCTCACTCAGCCTTACGCCTCTTTAGTGAATCAAGAAGACCGAATCGCGAGGGATGCGATATTCTTGTCTGGATTGCCTCCACGGATGGTAATTTTTCTCTAAGATCGGCTTATAGCTTGTGTTCAAATGAGGACCACGCATCATGGTCGTTTTGGAGGCACTTATGGAAGATTAAGATTCCTCAGAGATGTCTCACGTTCCTCTGGTTGGTAGCCCGAAACAAGTTACTAACAAGCCTTTCACGCTTTAAGAAAGGTCTACATAACACAGGGTGCTACGAGATTTGTGGCACTCAGATAGAAACGACGTTGCATGTTCTACATGATTGTAATATTGCCTCTGCGGTTTGGAGAATATGTGTACCGAGGAGATGGAGGAGCCGGTTCGTTCACATTGATGAGGTGGTTGACTGGGTACGCAGAAGAATATGTGTCACAGCCTCGGTGGAAAACCTTGCTTGGAAACAATGGTTTGCCATCATATGTCGGAACTGTGGCTCGAACAAAATGACAAGATTTTAATGGAGTGAATTCAGACCCCCAAGACATACTCGCTCGTTCAAGGGCTTATCTTCTTTGGGGTCAAGTAAAGCTGGATGCTTCACGGCCTGCCCAACGTGCACAATGGGAACCACCGTAAATAGGAACCATCAAGTTTAACGTGGATGGTTCGTTCCATGTTAGGAAGAGGACTCGAGGTTGTGGAGGTCTGGTGAGAGATCATAGTGGCAGGGTCCTGTGCGGATTCCTATTCCGCCCCACTCATGGTTTGAGTCTTACCACTGAGATCTGGGCAATCTTATGGGCTTTGGAGGTTGCATGGGAACAGGGTTTCCGAGAAGTCATTGTGGAAAGTGATTGCACTGAAGCTGTTAATGCTGTCGCTATAGGGGTGGAGGAACAGCACCCTGACGTTGGTATAGTCATGGAGGCACAACAAATGCTGAAAAGGGAGTGGGTAGTCGACCTTATTGTCTGCGGAAGAGATGAGAATCATGATGCTGACACATGGGCCAAGTTTGTGAGCTCGATGACTGTTGATCTATCAGTATTTACTGAGGTCCGGAACAATTACGTCTACGTGATCCAGTGTTGCTGGTTAGCCTTTGGGCTAAACCCTTTTTCCCATCAAAAAAAAATGTTGAGATGCGCGAGTCGAGCCCCGTCATTCATCATAGCTCAACCACTTGAGCCCATTTGATGTTCAAATTGACATTATAAATAGGTTTGCATAAAAAATTAATAAATATGTTACTTGAGAGACGTTGATCTTAACTGCCCATGACTTTATAAAAAAAAGTGGTTTTTAACTTAAATAATTGTAATTTGGGAGACATAATCAAACTCTCAAATAACATAGATAAAAATTAAAAAAACAAAAATATGGAGATGTGGGGAATTGAACGCTGTAATTCATCATAAATAAAACATATGAGCTCCATCCCCATTTGATGTTTGAACCGACAATTATAATAGAAGGATATACTAACACTATGTAGACAATAAAATATAGACTGTAGAAACTAGAGATTCCCTAAAAGATTTGAAGTTAAAAATCTAAAAGGTGCTAAGAAATTTCAGCTGGTGGTTTCAAAAAGGAAAAAGAGGGAAGATATGGCTCTATCATTTGAGTTACGTCTCGATTTGATATACAAATTGTCAAGTATATAATACATATGTTTGTATCAAAAATTAATAAATATGTTACTTGAGAGACATTAATCTTAATTGCCTCGGAGTCTAGGACTTTATGAAAATAATATGTATGATTTTTTTCATAAATCATTATAATTTGAGGAAGATAATCAAACTCTCAGAAAAAGAAAAATGTGGATATGCAAGGAATCAAACCCCGTAATTCATTATAACTCAACCATTTGAGCTGCATCCCCTTTTGATGTTTTAATTGCCCATGACTTTATGAAAAAATATGTATTTTTTCTTAAACAACTATAATCTAAGAGAGATAATGAAACTCTCAAATAATGTGGAAAAGAATGAAAAAAAAAAAATAAAGAAAGAAAAAACGTAGAGGCGCAAGGAGTAGAACCCTGTAATTCATCATAGCTAAAACATTTGAGCTACATTCTAGACAGTAGAGACTAGAGAATCCCTAAAAGATTTAAAGTCAAGAACTTAAGAGGCATTAAGAAATTTCTGCTGGTGGTTTTAAAAAAGGAAAAAAGAAGAAAGATATGACTTTATCATTTGAGCTACGTCTCATTTTGACACATAAATTGGCAAGTATATAATAAATATGTTTGTATCAAAAATTAATAACTATGTTACTTGAGAGACGTTGATCTTAATTGCCTTTGATTCTATGAAAATAATATATATGATTTTGTTCTTAAATAATATTAATTTGAGAGAGATCATCAAACTCTCGAATGATATAGATAAGAATAGAAAATATATAATATAATATATATATATATAAGATGCAAGGAATCAAACCCCGTAATTCATCATAACTCAACCATTTGTGCTACATCCCCATTCCATATTTTAATTGACATTAAGAATATGTTTGTATCAAAAATTAATAGATATGTTACTTGAGAGATGTTGATCTTAATTGCCCATGACTTTATGAGAAAAAATATAGATTTTTTTCCTTAAATAATTGTAATTTGAGAGAGATAATCAAACTCTCAGGGAACATCATTAAGAATGAAAAAAAAAAAAAAAAGGAAAATGTGGAGATGCAGGGAATCGAACCCCTTTTTCATCATAACCCAATCATTTGAGCTACATCCCAATTTAATGTTTGAATTGGCATTGTAAATATCTTTATTATCAAAGATTAATAAATATGTTACTTGAGAGACATTAATTTTAATTGCCTATGACTTTATAAGAACAATATGTATGTTTTTTTTTTCCTTAAATAATTGTAACTTCAGAGAGGCAATTAAACTCTCAAATAATATAGATAAGAATAAAAAAAAAGAAAAATATGGAGATGTAAGGAATCAAACTCCATAATTCACCATAACTCAACCATTTGAGCTACAGCTTGATGTTTGAATTAACAATTATAATAGAAGGATATTGTCACATCCCTTCAATTTTGACCCTGAGAATGTGAATAATAAAGTAGACAGAAGGTCAAGTAGTTAAGTAGACTCAATCAGAACATCTCTTGAATTGAGGTCTGACTTTGTTTGGACTAATATTTCTGAAATTATTAGTCCAGGAAGGGCAAAATAGAAAAATTTGAAAACAATTTCAAAAAAATTCCTGAAAAATGGTAAAAAGGTGAATTAGAGGTTTTGGAACCTTATTTGA